CCATGAGTTCGTATCTCCAGTCATCGTCTGCTCCAATTATCCCGGTGGCTGAAGTCTGGCCCGGTTGGATGGCCGCGACTTCAAACCGGTCTGTACTCGGTACGTCCAGTATCTCAATTTTCGCCAATTTTGACACATGCTCTGGGCAAGCTTGCGTCAATTTTGAAAGCATGTCTGCATCAGCGTTTTCCGACCGGGGTATCCTAGTCAGACGAAACTCTTCTAATTCCCTTAGAAGCGCTCGGACCAGATCACTATACCGGGCCAGGCGATCCTCTTTTACCTCCATCTCACCATTGACCTGTCCGACTACTAGACTTGAGTTGGAACGGATCTTCATCCTTTTTATTCCGAGTGTCCGGGCTAATCTGAGGCCACCGGCCAACGCCTCATACTCCGCCTCATTGTTGGTGAGCTTGAAGTTGAAAATCAGAGCATGGTAGATCTTGAATCCCTCCGGGGTAGTGAAGACTACGCCGGCACCGCATCCCTTTGGTCCAGAGGCCCCATCAACGGCTATATCCCACCACGGTTCGACCGTATGGGAAGGTCCGGCTTCGGGCTCCAGACCGGTCAGTTCAACGAGGAAGTCTGCCAAAGCTTGACCCTTAATCGCAGTCCTTGGTTTATACTCTATCTTGAACTGAGTGAGCATCATCGCCCACTTGATCAACCTTCCCGAGGAGGTTGAATTTCGAAGGATCGGTCCAAGCGGCTGATCGGTCAGTACTTCCACAGTATGAGCTTGGAAGTATGCGGTCAGTTTTTTGGCCGTTATGAAAAGCGCGTATGTCGTTTTCTCAATGACAGTATACCGGCTTTCAGCCCCATTCAGTGCTTTGCTCACATAGTAAATAGGCCTCTGGCCGTCTTCATTTCTTATTAAAACAGAGCTTACAGCGTTTTGGGAAATCCCCAGATACAAGTACAAAATCTCACCCGGTTTGAGTTTTGACAAAATAATATCTGAGACTAAGTACTCCTTCAGCTGCTGGAAGGCTTCCTCGCACTCCCGGTCCCACTCGAATGTATTAGCCTTCTTCAGAACCTTGAAGAAAGGCAGAGCCCTCTCAGCAGACCGGGAGAGAAAACGACTCAAGGCTGCCAACCGGCCGGTAAGTCGTTGTACGTCCTTCAGCGAACTGGGCGACCTCATTTCAGTTATGGCCTTGATCTTCTCCGGATTAGGCTCAATTCCACGCTTGGTCACCATGAACCCCAGAAACTTACCGGTCTTTACAGCAAAGACGCATTTCTTGGGGTTGAGACGCAAGTTGTACCTAGCCATAATCTCGAAGCAGAGCCTCATGTCGGCCGGGTGGTTCTCCGCACCCGG